GTACAAAAAATTTGACTTCTTCAAGATGTGCAATTTGAAAGTTTTCCTGAATTTTTGTGGTTATTTTATTGTATGTTATATGCAATTCTATATTATAAATAATGAGAAAACAAATTGATAACAGAGCAGTTGATTTTGCTGATTTTAGAAATGTACTTATGGTATTTTTCCTGTGTTCAAGGTTATTTGTGAGTTTCAAACAAAATAGGAGATCTGTGCTATCAAGCAATCAAAAATAAAGAAGCCTCCTCCATCTTTTTTTGCAGCTACCTCTCCTCAGAGCTCCTCCATGCTCCTTGTTCCCACTAGGAGAGGTGGTTCTGTTTCTTTTCTTTGAGCACTGTAGATCAACTCCCTTCTTTTCTGTTTTTCTTGCATTGTTTAATGTTTTGAAGCTCGAATGGAGAAGTACAAGTAAACCAGAACACGACAAACAATGCCAGCTCAAGGTGTTGTTTTATCACCTAAAAGAGCCGTGTGAATAGTGATAGAAAAAAGACTTATGATATGAATATCCTCCATCTCACAGCTCACTGACTTTGGAAATATTACATCTTCAAGGCTTAGCTAAATTACCATCATCTTTATATAACTTTTTCTGATTGGACAAACTGAAAACTTCCTTCTGTATATTTTCTCTACTAACTATAGCTCTCACTATTTGTATTACAATCAAGAGAGACTGATTTTTTTTTTTATGATAGACTGTGACAAGGTGCAGATCATCCTGAAATTCCAGTGGCTTAAAATTTTCTTTCAGTTTATGACAATTATCTATCACTGGTTGGTAGAAAAATAAGCATTCTGCTCTAACTAGCAATTCAGGGACTCAGAATAATTATGTGTCCACCATCTTCTAGTTGTCCCTTGTGGAACATGTGACTTCCTTGCTTACTATGGCAAGAGTAAAGAGCTGGAGGGTTGCAGTTTTTGATGCTTTGGTTTGGAATGACACATGATATTTCCATCCGCAGCCCATCCAGAACTAGTCCCATGACCCCACCTAATCTCAAGAGGACAAGGAAATGTGGGGAAACAGATAGAATGTTGGGTGAGCACCACTCTCTCTCTCTTCTAATAATTCATTCAACAAATATTTATTGAGTGCTTACTGTGTGCCAGATATTCTTCTAGCCTCTGGAAATACAAAAGAAAATCCCTGTTTTCATGTAGTTTATATTCCATCTTTTGGTTAATGTTCATTGTTGTTTTTATATATGCTTTAAGGGCAATGCTTATCATATAATCTCCATATAGCCTAACAAAAGTACAACACATACAATAACAATTCAATAAATAAGTATAACTAAATATAACTGTTTGATGTCTCCTTGTGCAAGAACTCATATACAAAGAATACCCATAATATATATAAAAACTTTAGTCAGTTCTATAATATCAAGTTCCTGCTTGATGTCTATGCAGACGTGCTTTGAATCTTTCAAGAAATTTTGTTGTGTTTTAAAGTAGTTTCTAGAGTAAAAACATTTGCTTATGTTCTGTCCATAGGATTATAAACTCTTCATGGACAGACACTCATCCTGTTTGGAATACCGTAAATTCCATAGTTTTAATACAGCTTTATGGAGTTAAACTATGTAGTCCAGAGTCCTGATAGATTAATAACATTCACTTATTCATTAAATATTTATTAAGATTCTGTTGTGTGCCAGATAGTATCTACAAAAGTGAATAAGAAATTTATATACTCAAAAAATACATAATTTCCTGTGTAGGTAAAATGGAAATTATTTTGGATTAAAAATGAGACTTTTTTTATTAATAGTAATCTGTATTCATATGAATTAGCCCCTTATGAACAATGAGGGAGAGGAGGTTGAAAACAACTGATCTTATTCACCCCTTTTTGCATGATTGAACCTCCTTCCCCTCCCAAATAACAGACCTTAAAGAGTAGTCACCTGTTCTCTTCTTGAATATTACCTTCAAAGTCATTTAATTTATTTTCAATAATTTTAATTATTGGAGAACTCCTCCTTATCCAAAATCAAAATTCTGTAGCTGAAAGCATGTGTAGTAATTTACATCATCTTTTCCTGTAATGACCCTTAAGACATTCTATGATAGTTTCAGCTGATCCCTAATTTTCTCATCCCCAAACCCCTTAAGATACCGTTTCAAGTTGCCTCACCCTTAATTACTTTCCTTTTAAAGTATTCTAGTTTGTCAGTGTGTTTTGAAGTAATGGCATACCAAATTGGATGGTTGGAACAAAGTAGAGTTTATTGAATACAGTGGAATTTTTTGATATTATGGTTTTATTAAAGCAGAAGTGCTTCTGAATTGGGCATATTTTAATTTCAAAGTACAATTAAAAAATAAAGAAAAGAAAAAACATAGGAACACTTAAGTATTGTGGTGAAAAAAAAATGGAGCAAAAGGAAGATAGGATCCTTTTTCTAGAAGAAAAAGTGAGTGAGATTGGAGAGTGTATTAAAACTTTTGGAATTAAGCAGAGTAGGTCAATGTGATTGGGTGCATTGCAGTCCTAAGACAAGTGTGGTTTTGGATCTAATGCGCATTTTTAGAGGTCTTTTTTGGTGAAATTCTATGCTGTAGCAGGAAGAAGAAACATTAGGAGAGAAGTATTCAAATTTGGTAGGACCACTAAGACAGGTTGCTTTACCCCAGCAAAAGTTTTTTGCATTGAGAAGGTAAGATAAAGAAAATTCATAAGCAAGAAGATACAGGTTTCTGCAGGAGGAGCTTGGTGAGGTATGACGTAGAAAAACTCACCTTTATTATGTGTCAGAGAATAAGTTCTTGGAAAACCAATGAATTAATAATAAAACTCAGTAACACCTATAAGGCCTAGCTGTATGCAAGGTGTTACTCAGTTTCCCATTCATTAATGCATTTAATCTTCACAACAGTTCTATGAGTTAGGTTCTTCTATTATGTCCGTTTTATGGACGAGAAATTTTACCCATAGAGAAGTGATTTAATGGATGCCACGTAACTCAGAGCTGAGATCATAATACAAGTTGATTAGCTCCAAAATTTTCTCCTTAATAACAATATTACGTATTACTATATTGTGCTCCTTGTTTGATTTCAGCCTAACTTCTTTTGCATCTTATAAACAACTTATCTGTGCCCTTCTTTTCTTGCTTGGTGCCACATTTCCTACCCACCTCAAGGAACCAATACTTTTTAGATGTTTTCATCTCCCTACTATTAAAGAATACTCTCTGGAAAAAAAGCTATTAACCTCATTCTTTTTCACCAAGAAATAGAAGATCTATATGGCTTAATATAAAAAAATTTCTATTCCAGGATCGGGTTTTCCTTTTAGGAGTATGGGGAATGTTAAGGGTCCATAAAACCTTAACCCAGAACACTGTTGAAATTTAAAATACCTGGGCAAGAGGGGAGTGGGAAATGAGTAAATTGGGTGCATGACCTTCTGTGCCCTTCAAATTATTTAGCTGTCGTGGAACCTGTGGGAATCCTTCTATTAGAAACCTAGTAGATAGGAACATAAAGTGGGATTGGAAAGAATAAAAAAGGATACATCTTTATTATATAGATTTAATGATTTTAGAAATGCCCTATTATTTCCCTAATTCATTATCTTATACAAGAGTTCCCTGTATAATTCCAAGAGACATATAGATCCCAAGAGAAAGCTGGAATAGTCATAGATGAAAAGAGGCAATCCATTCTAGAATTATCCCATTCTAGATCATCGCATTCATGCTTTTACATCTGAATCAAGGTAGAGCCAAGGGTTGATTTTGTTCTTTTATTAAACTCAGGTGGTCTGTGATTTTTCTGCTATAGGAATCTTACAATCTGGGAATGTCACCTTAGAGTTATACTTGAGAACCCTTTTTTTTTTTGATTCCACATCAATCATTCATCAGTCCTTTTCATTTCTTTCTCATATATTTCAATCTAGTTAAGTGAAAACTTAGTGCCTGCTTTATACCAGGTTCTGTGTCTGGGCTTACAAGTAACCCATCTCAGATTTTTCATTTTCTAGGAAAGAATGTTGTATAATACAAGCTGTCATAGAAGTGTGTTCAAATACAGAAGCAGTGTAGAGCAGAGAATTACTTTATCAGGGAAGGTCAGAAAGATTTGCAAAAGAGGTAATTCCTGAATATGATTTTCAAGGATAAATAGGAGTTCATCAGAATAATGGCAGGGAGCAAAATATCCTAGCCAAAGGAAAAAGCATACACAGACATGTGGCAGCATAACCCATGGTGTTCTGGTGACTGCAAGTAGTATGGCTATAGAATGGAGGAAGTTTGGGTGAAGGGGAGGTAGAAAATTACCTTTGTTGCTTTTTCCCATTGGCAGGATTTTCATATGCTTACATCAGCAAATTATTTTTTTCCATGTCTGTGGTTATTGAAGACATAGCCTTTTTTTAAGTATTTTGCTAGTTTTTAGTATATATGCCATACCTTGAGATTTTATTCATGTGTCTTAACACCTAAGTATTTGTGTACACTATGTGTCCTCAATCCTCCGTGATAAAAGCTGGTCTCTAAGTATGACAGAAGGAAGAGTAACAATTTCACTTGTATCTACATGGTCATGTAGTTTTTATAAGTAGATATGCATATAATTTTAAATCTCTTGGAGTTAAGGAACTAATAATTTTTTTAGTCATAATATTATTTACTATACCGAATAATTCAAGATGGTTCTGTAAATGTTTTTCTGCTTTTTGTACAGTAGCACAATACTGAGAAAATATAAAATGGAAGAAAACAGAAAGATGATATACCTTGCGTATCTGGAGCTTACTTAAATTTATACTCAAGCAATTTTTGGCCTTCAGTCAGCTCTCTAAGAGAGAAAAATCATAGAGAAATTTTTATTCAGTTTATTCTGTTCATCATAAAACTTGAAAACAAACACAGAGAGACTGCTTTTCAAATGAATATATAAATGAAGTTATGTGGAAATCAAAACAAACTTTAATACGTTTAATAAGTTAACTTATTTATAACTTCTTTTTTAAGGATGCTGGGCAGTTTTATGCTAAATATAAAGAAACAAGATTGAAGGAAAAGGAAGATGCATTGACTAGAGCTGAATATGAAACACTTCAAAGTGAGTTTTAAACATTGTCTTACTGTGTTAACATTATCATGTAAAGCTGATTATTTAAATTTGGGGTTTTCCTTAAATTTAGCAGTAATTAAATTTTCTATGCTTTCTTTGACACTTTCTAATTAGATTCTTGTACTTATCATGTGTTTAAAATACTGTGTTAGTAATTATTAAACCACCCATAGTTCAGTATCAGAGTAGGGATTAAATCAACATGGAGTCATAAAGTTCCTCAAATCTAAGAGGCATCCAAAATCTAGAAAGAACTAAAATACTCCAGTCATTGGAATAATTACTATAATTGTCTTTGATAATTTGTTGCCAGGTCTATCCAACTGATCACCCAACTTGTAGTATTAAAGTAGAAAATGGGAAATCTGAAAAATATCAGTGATTATTGTTTTGAAAGCCTTGTTTTATTTGTATTATTATATAATATGTAAAACGACTAAATTATCAGTATGTAGAAATATTCCATAGAACACTAAAGACAGTTCTTGCTACTTTTAGAAAAAGCTGAGCATACTATTATTTAAAAAGGCGTTTTCCCCTACTCTCACCACTAGTATTCAACGTAGTTTTGGAAGTCCTAGCTAAAGCAGTTCTGCAAGAGAAAGAAATAAAAGGAATCCAAATTGAAAAAGAAGTAAATTTGAAACCATTTGCACATGACATGATGATATACATAGAAAACTCCAGACTCCACTAAAAAACTATTAGAAATAATAAATCAGTACAATAAAGTAGCAGGTTAAAAAATCAATATGCAAAAGTCTGGTTTTTTTCTATATGCAAATACCAAACTAGAAAAAGAAAACAATCCTATTTACAATCACATCAAAAAGATTAGGTAACTAAGAATTAACAAAGAGAATGGATGATCTATGCAATGGTAACTATGATAAGTTGTTAAAAGAAATAAGATACAAAGGAATGGAAAGACATTCCATGCTCATGAATTGGAAGAATTAATATTGTCAAAATGGCCATCTTACCTGAAGCAATTTACTGATTTAATGCAATTGCTATCAAAATTTCAGTAGGTTTCTTTCTTTTTTTTTTTTTAAAGATTTATTTATTTATGCATACAAGAACTGGGGTACAGGCCAGAGATGTGGGGGGTAAGAGGATCCACCAGAGACAGAGTGGGGAACAGAACAGGCAGACTGACTGAAATACACTGCTGAGGGGAGCAGAGGGCAAGACAGGAGAGGTCTGCCTTGCCATGTGGGTTTCTCCCTGGCCGGGGATTGAACTCGTGCTGCAGAGGCTGTGGATTGCTTCATAGTGCGGTGCTTAACCTCTTGCGCCACCAGGGAGACCCTCAGTAGGTTTCTTTAAGGAAATAAACATTACTGAACTTTGTATGGAACCACAAAAGACCCCAAATAATCAAAGCAAGTGGTCCCAGACTTCAAATTATACTACAAAACAATATGGTATTGGAATGAAATTAGAACCACAGACCAATGGAAAGACTTTAGAATCCAAAAATAAATGCACACTCATGGACAGTTAATTTATGACAGAATAGCCGAGGCTAACAATGGAGATTGGAAAGTCTCTGCAACAAATGGTACTGGGAAAATTGAATAGCTACATGCAAAAATCAAAAACGAACAAACAAAAAACTAGACCAATACCTGACAGCATACACAAAAATTAATTCAAAATGGATTAAAGACTTCAGATGCAAGAACTAAAACTATATAATACATAGAAGGAAATACAGGCATAACTCTCTGTGAAATGGATTTCAGTAATGTCTTTGGGAACTCCATATAATGACAAGGGAAATAAAAGCAAAAATAAACAAATGGGACTATATCAAATTTTAAAACTCTTTACAGCAAAAGAAACTATTATTTAACACTATATAACATTGGTTATTTGCTTTATCATCTTGTTTATAGAATGTAAGCTCAGTGAGGTTAGGGTTTTTGTCTTTTTCACTGTTGTCTGTCCAAATACCTTAAAAAGTCCCTGGCAATACTAAGTCCTTAATAAATACTTGTTCATTGAGTTTATGAAGTTGAGATTTCTATTTTTTTAAAACTTCCATTGGGAGTGTTTTATTTTTTATTTTTTTTAAATAATAAATTTTATTTTTATATTCCCCATACAATTGCAACCCCCCCATTCTGATCCCAATCCCTCCCCTCCTGCCCCCCGAGCCCCCAAAAGTGTCTCTGTTTCATAGTTTTTTGTTGATTCTGATTTTCACTTTCTTATAGTTATTCATTTTCCTGGTCCCTTATTTAAGTTTTCTAGATTCCTGCTATGAGTGAGACCATCCGGTATTTTTTTTTTTCTTTTTGACTTATTTCGCTGAGCATGATCCCTTCCAGCGCCATCCATGTTGCTGCAAATTGCATGTGTTTATCTTTTTTGAATGCTGAGTAATATTCCATGGTGTATATGTACCACATCTTCTTGATCCAGTCATCTATTTTTGGGCATTTGGGTTGTTTCCAAAGCTTAGCTATTGTAAACAGTGCTGCTATAAACATAGGGGTGCAGGTGCTCTTTGGAATTGATGTTTCTGTGACCTTTGGGTAAATACCTAGGAGTGGAATTGCTGGATCATATGGAAGCTCTATATTTAGTAGGTCCAGAAATCTCCACACAGCTCTCCATAGTGGTTGGACCAGTTTGCACTCCCACCAATAGTGCAGAAGAGTTCCTTTTTCTCCACACCCTCGCCAGCATTTGTTGTTGCTAGTTTTTTGAATATGTGCCATTCTCACTGGTGTAAGATGGTATCTCATGGTAGTTTTGATTTGCATTTCCCTGATTACAAGTGATGTTGAACATTTTTTCATATGCCTGTTGGCCATTTGCATTTCTTCTTCAGAGAAGTTTCTTTTTAGCTCTTCTGCCCATTTTTTGACTGGATTATTTTCTTTGTTGTTGTTGAGTCTCATCAGCTCTTTGCAGATTTTTGTTATCAGTCCTTTATCATTAGTGTTGGATGCAAAAATGTTCTCCCATTGGGAGTGTTTTAGTTCAGACTTTATTTCCCTCCACTTCCCTAGATTATTTGTTGTACATGGTACCAATTTGGGCACAGGAGACAATACAAGACAATGCAAACTATAATTAACACCCAGTAAATTCATATCTATAAATGTATACACATGCACAGCATAAATAGTTTTATTGAACAACTTGTGTGCTTTTGAGGCTATGTAGTAAAAGCTGTTCCTGTAACCCATATAATAAGTAATTTAGCCAAGTCAAACTGGAAAAGTGCAACCGAGGTTTTGTTTTTGTTTTTGTTTTAATTGCACTTAATGCTTTCATTGTTTATTCAAACTGAATCTCTTCAGCAATACAAACCTTGGGGGTCATTGTCATTCAAATAACAAAAGAGCTTTGCTAATACTAGAATGAACTAGAGGAACCCTCTGAAGAAGACAATGGTCCTCATGTAAAAATAACCCTTAAAAATAGCAAGCTCACCATCAGGCATACAAAGAAAATCCACACTTCATCTATTCCTACTGATTTCCACTTCAGTAGGGAATAATTTGCTTAGTGGTGGCTGTTGGGATTTTTCAGATTCTGCAGAACCAAGGTATTATTAAACGATACCTTCAATTCACACATTCAACTTATAGGAAAATGTTGATAGCAATTTCCCATCATATACTGAAAGTCATAGATGTCTACCATTATCCTGACAGCACACTCTGGTTTGAGAAGATAGAAGAAACCATAACTAGGAAAGGTTCTGTTTTTAAGGAGTCATTGGGCCAATTTGGATAATTCATGGTAATCTCCCATCAGGTTTTTGAACTTCACATCTGCAAAGTTCTTTTTTCATGTAACGTAAAACATTCTCAGATCCTGGGAATTAGAATGTGGTCCTTTTTTAAGGGACCATTTTTCAGCCTACTGCAGTTCTTCAGGATCTGGGCAACTTTAGGATAGGAACTGTTCCTTTTTATCTTTTGACCTGCAGCATTGAATATAGTGTCTTAGAATATAGTAAATGTTCAGTAAATGGAAAAAAGAATGAACAACTGAACATATAATGTAATGCCATGAATATTAATGACTGTCAGCTAAGCACCTATCCTGTATAGAAAAACACAGTTTCTAGGAGATCATCATTGAATTCAAAAGCTCAATAATTACAAATCAAAATAATATTCTAAACAACTGCAAAATAGTTTAAAGCAAACTACTCTTAAGAGCTTGGGATGGTACGGGATAACATTAAGATAGATTGATATATGTGTTGGGGAATAAGGATGTTATATAATAATTGTTATATTAAGCTAAGATTGAAATAAAAGTTGATATAGCAGTTGTTGAAATAATTTTGATTAAATTAGATAAATCAATGAATAAATATAATTTTTATGTAACTATCATTTTTAAGTAAAATTGTTAAAGGAAAAAATTTTAAGCCTTTAAAGACTACTTAAAAGGAGTAAAGAATTGCATTTACAGAAGAAAAAAATATCAGAGTAGCTCAAAATTCACCTGTAGAGACAGTGTGAATATACTACATTTCACTGCTTTCATAGACATGTCCTTTTTGTACATATAATTTACATATAACATTGTATTAGCTTCTGATATTCACCATAATGAATACCAGAATATTCATTATGTGTTTACTGCATTGTGTATTTATTGCAAAATAATCACCATAGTAAGTCTAGTTAACATTCATTACCACACTTAATTTTTTTTATCTTGTATGGAACTTTTAAAATCTGCTCTCTTAGAAACTTGTAAATATACAACACAGTATTTTTTTTGGGGGGGGGGGAAGAGTATAGAGAATGTGTAATTAGTAATGAAAAATCTGAGTGATACAAGACACAACAGCCAGCATACTGTTTATAGCCCAGGAAGTATTTATTTTGTAACACACAGCTTTGTTATGAAGTTTTTTGTTTGTTTGTTTTTAAAGATTTATTTATTTATATATACAAGAATCAGGGTACAGGCCAGATGCGTGGGTGGGTGAGAGGATTCACCAGAGACAGAGTGGGGAACAGAACAGGCAGACTGACGAAATACACTGCTGAGGGGAGCAGCAAGCGAGACAGGAGAGGTCTGCCGCGCCATGTGGGACCCTCCCCAGCCAGCAGGGATCGAACTGGCACTACAGAGGCTGCGGACAGCCTCACAGAGCAGCTCTCAAGCGCCTGTGCCACCAGGGGAGGCCCTTTGTTATGAAGTTTTTGTAAGAAACCACTTGTTATAAATTTTTCCTTATTTTTTTTATTGTGGTAACGTTGGTTTCCAATACTGTATATAGGATAATACCTCTTTAGGTGTATGTTACCACATTGCACCTGCCACCAAGGCACCCTTCATCCATCATCATATCCATCCTGCCCCCTACCTCCTTTCCTCTTCACTCTTTTCCTCCCACTCTGGTATTCTCCATTTTACAGTCAGGTTTCTAGGGTTTGTTTTTGGTTTGGTTTTGGCTGACTCTATAATCCACTTATGAGAAAAACCATCAGGTATTTGTCTTTCTCCTCCTGGCTTATTTTGCTTAGCATAATTCCCTCCTGTTACATGCCAAGAGCTTATCTTTTTATACATAGCTGAGTAATATTCCATTTTATATATATACACCACATCTTCTTAATCCACTCATCTGTTCTTGGGAATTTAGATTGCTTCCATAACTTGGTTGCAATAATCATAGGAGTATGCACATGACAATTTAGAAAACAAAATTGTCATATACAAAGTATCATAATACAAAACTTCTTTTTGAAGTTTGGCCATTTTTCCAAAGTTATTCAAAGATTTTTATTCTCCCTAAGATTTTCATAGCAATTCTCAAACTCATTTTATTTTCTTTTATTTTGTTATTGTTATCTAATAAAAATTGTAAGAAACACAAAATTTTAAATATATAAATATTTTAAAACTTGTTTGCCAGTATGAATGTGTAACAATCCTCTAATAAGTTTGAAAATTCATCACTAGCTTATAAGTTACTGAAACTTAGAATGTAAAAAAGAAAGCATATTGAAAACAATATACTAGGCACTAATAAGATTTCTGTCATGTTTTTTATTGAAGTGTTATATTTAGAAAAGGTGATGTATCGAATTTAAGAATATTAGAGAACTTTCATATTACTATTAATAATGTCAGAAACTGTCATGTATTTTTTAATGTAGTCTCTAATGGTTACATGTAGGGACTCTTTTAATTAATTTTGTTAACTTCATTGCAGTGTTCTGTATTGTATACTTTAGAATTAATATATAAAGGTCCCAAATCCCCTAGTGTGCATTTCATTTGCCCCTAATCCTTCTTAATTTTAAAGACCATCATTGGAGTACTGAGTTCATAATAACATTTCCATCTGCTTAATTGAGTAAATGCATCTCATGCAGATTAGCAGTAGCTATTTCATGCTTCCTGTTTTCATGACCTAATTGCTAATCTGCCCTCAAGTCTATCTGCTTTACTGCTGAGATTGTGCACTGTCCTTTGAGGGCTACCTTAGAACTACTTTGAATAGGGTGTGGTATTAAAATGATAATTTTCAAGAAGGGAATATGAAGAGGGTAATTTCTTAAAAATAAATACCCTCTTAGGAAATTTTAATTCGAGAGATGTGTTGTATTTATTTGGAAAATTTTTATACTTCTAGATTGTGATTTTAAGAATGATGATATTATTGATACAGCAATTCCTCCCCCCCACCACCGCATTTTTGTCCCTTACGCCCTTTTGAGCTTTCTCCTTCCTCTTGTTTAATAGTGTCTACTTGTTTTTGTAAATAGTTTGCTTCATTGGGTCATCTGCTATGTAAATGTCCAGTATTTGTCTTTGTCATTCTGACTTACTATACTTAATTCCTTCCAGCTCCTTCCCTTATCTTTCCTTATGACTGAATAGTATTCTGTTGTGTGGATATACCACATCTTCTTGAACCAGTCTTCTGTGACTTTTTATAGTAGCAAAATTCTGCATATGTCTTATTAGATTTACATCTAAGTATTTCTTTTTTTATATTCTGAGTGATTATAAATGATATTAGATTTTCATTTCAAGTTCTATATGTTCACTGCAAGTTAAGAAATTCCATTTGACTTTTTATTCCGTTTTGATTCAGTTCACCTTTATATGTAGATCTATATCCTACAGTCATGTGGATTTACTTATTAGTTCTAGGAATTTTTATTTAGACTTTAGACTTTGTATGTAGACTATGATGTCATATGACAATAGCTTAGTTTTACTTTTTCCTTTTCAGCCTGTATGCATTAAATTTTCTTTTTATACCTTCTTTTACTAACTAGCCCTTTTAGAATATTGTTGAACTAGAATGATGAGAGGACATACTTGTTTTCTGATTAAGTCTGATGAGAGCTGTAGGGTTTTTGTAGATGCTCTATGTGTAGTTGAGGAAATTTCCTTCTATTCTTAGTTTTCTGAGTTTTTTGATTGGGTGTTAAATTTTGTTGTTGCACCAACTAATATAATTATGTGATATTTTTTTCTTTCATGTGTTTGGTAGATAACATTGATTGAACATTGAATATCAAACCACACTTGCATCCTTGCAGTAAATAACACATGGTCATAGTATAAAATTTTTGTATATTGCTGAATTATATTGGCTAATATTTTGTTAAGGATTTTTGTTTCTATGCTCATGAGAGATATTAATCCATAGTTTTCTTTTTTGTACTGTCTCTTATAACTTTGATGTCAGGGTAGTATTAGCATCATATATTGAATTGAGAAATGTTCTTGTATTTTCTGTAGGAGACTGTACAATTAGTGTTAATTTTTTAAGCATTTGGTAGAATTCTCTAGTGAGAGTGTCTAAGCCTGACTATTTCCTCTTGGGGAGTTTTTAAATTACAAATCAAATTTCCCTTCTAGTTAAAAGGTTTTTCAAATATTAAGTTCACTTATCAATTTCATGTATCTGCATCTATTTTATATAGCTATTTCACATTCTAGATGAGTTGGAGCAATTGGTCAATTTTATCTGGATTGTCAAATTTACATGTGAAGCTGTTCTTAATACTCACTCACAACCCTTTTAATTTATGCCTGTGTGTCCTGTAGTGACTTCTCCTGTTACAATGCTAATATTGGGGACTTATATTTTCTCACTTTTTTTCTGTCAGTTTTGCCAGCTATCTGTCAATTGTATGAATCTCTTCAAAGAACTAGTTTCTTGTTTCATTGATTTTTCTCTGTTGCTTTTGCTTTCATTTGCTTTCTGTTCATACTTTTTTTCCTTTCTGATTGCCTTGAGTCTTTTTTTTTTCAATTCCTAAATGTGGAAGCTTATATTATTAACTTAAGACTTCATCTTTTCTAATGTAGTACTAAAAGTACTATAAATTCACCTCTCAGTACTGTTTTGCTATGTCCCACTTATTTTGATATTGTATTTTTATTTGAGTCAGTTCAGTATTTTTCCCCTTGATATTTGCTTTTTGATATAGGGATAGCTTATTTTTAATATATTACCTTATATAGCTTTAAGTGGGTGCTTTATTATATATACATGACTTATCCCAAACTAGTATTATTTCCATTGTGCCAAAATGAAATCTTTGATGAAACGTGCTTTAAAATATATAAAATAACACAGTGGTTATACTTTAATCATCATCTCGTTTGTCACTAATGTCTCAAGTTTTATTTAAAAATAGTATAGTGGCTAGTGCATAATAAAACTCACAGCTTGTAACTATAGCAAAGCTTTATCTTGAAAAGAAAATGTGTGTTCTTTCAAGATGTCTGTGGATAAGAAATTCTTTTTATTCTTAACAAATTTTAATATTTCACTCTTTTAAACATTTCTTAGAACAGAAGAAAGTTAAAATGAAAAAGCCAAAACCTGAATTTCCTGTATACATGCCTTTAGAAAGTACATATATTCAATCTTATGATCATGGAGCATCTATAGAAGAAATTGAGGAACAAATGGATGATTGGCTGGAAAACAGAAACAGAACGCAGAAAAAACAGGTAAGTAATCTTTTTAAAGTGTTTCAGTTGATTACGTAATGAAAAGAACAAAAATATAAATATACAGTTCAGTTAATTATCACAGAGTAAGTTAGGTTAACTGTTGGCAAGATGAAGAAACACAACATAGCCAGTGTCAAAAAGTCTCACTCATGCTTCTTCCTGGTCTATCATTCTTGTCTCTCTTTCAGGTATCCTAACTATCCTAACTTCTAACATCATAGATTAGTTTTATCTGCTGTTCGAAGTTTGTAAATGGAATTGTCTTCTCTTAGACCTTTCCGGCTGCTATAGCAAATGCATAATAGACTGGGTGCCTTAAAAAACAATTATTTCTCACAATTCAGAAGACCAGGAAATCTAAGATCAAAACACCAGCAGATTCAGTGTCTCGTGAGGGCTTTTTTCCTAATTCATAGATGACAGTTTTCTTGCTGTGTCCTCTCATGGTAGAATCAGTGAGAGAACTCTTTGGGGTCCCTTTTAATAACCGACTTAATCCCATCAGTGAGAACTCTACCCTCATGAATTAATCATCTTTCAAAGGCCCTGCCTCCTAGTACCATCACTTTGGGAGTTAGGATTTCAACCTAAGAATTTAGGGAAATACAAACATTCAGTCCATAACACATGCCATCGTTTTCCTCTGTTTAGTACATTTGTGAGATTCACCCATTATTGTATGTAGTCACGTTTAGTTCATTTTCTTTGCTATAAGCAGTTAATGTAGAGATGTAGCAAAATTTGGTTTTGTTGATTTGTGTTATTTCCAGTTCTTGACTATAATATTTTTCCTGTGAACATTATTTCACTCTTAGTATATGTATGTGTAAATTTCTATTGAGGGTATTAAGTTGCATGGTTAGCCTTGTTAAATATCTCAAATAATTTTTTACTTTTTATAAGTGTATCAGTTTACACTTTAACAGCAGGGTATAAAAATTCTAGTTACTCTACATCCTTGACAAAACTTGGTCAAATCTTTTATTTTAACAGTTCTGGTAGGTGAGTAGTGCTATCTAAATTGGTTTAATTTGCATATCATTTGATGAGTAAGATCGAACACTTACTTTTATGTGTATTGGACACTAATCTCCTATGTTGAAGTGCCTTTTCAAGTCTTTTTATTGGGTTGCCTGTGTTTTGTCATACCTATTTGTAAAGAGTTCTTTTATATGTCAGAAATTAGTCCTTCGTATATATTTTCTCCCACACTGTCTTGCCTTTTCAGTCTAAATGATATCTTCTGATCAGCAAAATTACTAATTTTAATCAGCAATCTTTTCCCCTATTTGCTGTTTTTTCCCCAACATTTATTTATTTATGCATACAAGAACTGGAGTACAGGCCAGAGGTGTGAGAGGCAAGAGGATTCACCAGAGACAGAGTGGGGAACAGAACAGGCAGACTGACTGAAATACACTGCTGAGGGAGCAGTGGGTGAGACAGGAGAGGTCTGCTGTGCATGTGGGTAGTTCACTGGCCGCCAGGGATCGAACTCTTTGCAAAGGCTGCATGTAGCTTCATAGTGCTGTGCTTAACCCCTTGTACTACCAGGGAGGCTCCTTATTTGCTGTTTTTATGTTCTATTTAAGGAATCTTTTCCTAGCTCAAAATCAAAATTTCAAATCCTTCAAGAAGCTTTAATGTTCTGTTTTTTTTACATTTAGATTGATAATCTTCTAGAATTTTTTTGTGTGTTTGGTATAAAATACTTGGGGGAAAATTTTTTTCAAAAGTTTTCCAAACCACTTGTCCCAATACCAATTACTAAAAAGACTGTTTCCAGTTTGCACATGTAAACACCACCTTTATCATAAAAAAAAGTTTCTGTAACTGTGAATCAGTTTCCAAACTTTTTTTATTCCAATAATTCCATAGTTCATTATGGTCTGATACCGTACAGACTTGATTACTATATTTTTATAATAGGTACATTACCTTTCAGCTTTAGTTTCTTTAAGATTACCATTTATATTTTCATTTAAATTAGTAGAATGTTATTTTCCATAAATTATTCAGCTGAGAGATTGTGTGTATATTTGCACATTTTTTTCTTGGATTTATTCCTGGATATTTAGTATTTTGGGATCACATTGATATTGTTTCTTAAATTTCACTTTTTAATTATATTTGGTATATTAGAAATGTAATTTGATTTTTTTTATAATACCCTCATGTGTAGCAACCTGGTGGGATTAATTTTTTTTAATTTCAGTATTTTCTCTGACTTTCACACATTTTTTCCCCTTTTGTGCTAATAAGGATCTCCAAAACATGTAAAATACAAGTGATAATAATTATCTTTATTTCATTTCTAATCTCATAAGCAGTTTTCATCAACTGAAATTTTTATTTCATCACTAAATTTCTTTATTAAACTTTCATCATTTCAGTATTAAATATAATCATGCTGAAAGCTTTTCATTGCATTTTTTTAGTTATACTTAATATAAAATTCGTAAGAGTGCACACTTCAGTGATTTTAGTCTATTCACTTTGTTGTTTAACCATTGCCACTAATTCAAGAACATTTTTATCGCACCAGATTATAATAATAACCCTTTGACTTGTTAGCAGTTAGCTTTAATTCTCTGCTCATCTCTTCTCTAGCAACCACTAGTCTACTTTTCTGTCTCTATAGATTTACCTACTCTAGTCATTTCATGTAATTGGAATCATGTAATATGTGACTTTTTCTACTTGGCAAAATGTTTTCAAAGTTTGTCCAGTATTTAACAATATTTCATTTCCTATGGCTGAAAAATATTCCATTATATGGCTTTATCACATACTGTTTGTCCATTCATCAGCTAATGAACATTTAGTTTGATTCCACTTTTTGGCTGTGATAAAAATGCTTTGAATATTCATCTATAAGTCCCTTGTACATATATGTCCTATGGTTTTTCTGGGGGTTAGAATTAATACCTTAATTCATAACAATCTAGGATTAGTTTTAGTAGTGAACAAAAATTTTCCTATACATAATTTGTTGCCAAGATTAAATCTTTTTGTATTGTGTGCCTCTCAACCTAGAATTATAATTAGCTATGCAGTTTACTTTTAATGAGATAGAAAATTAATTACAAACAAAACTTACATTTATGCTATCTTTTAAATTTACTTATGTAGTTACCTTCCCTGGTGTTAATGTCTTCATATGCTCTTGGTTACTGTCTAGTACCATTTCATTCTGAAGGACCCTCCTTTATCACTTGTAGATAGAACTGCTGTTGATGAACTCTTATTTTAAAGATTTATTTATTTATGCATACAAGAACTGTGTGGGGTGGGGTGAGAGGATTCACCAGAGACAGATGGGGAGCAGAACAGGTGGATTGAGTGAAATACACTGCTGAGGGGAGCAGCGGGTGAGACAGGAAAGGTCTGCTGCACCATGTGGGTAGCCCCCTGGCCAGGGATCAAATTCATGCTGCAGTGGCTTTGGATAACTTCATAGTGCTGAGGCTTAACCCCTTGCACCACCAGGGAGGCTTTGTTGATGACCTCTTATACTTTAGTAATGTTAATCTAGGAATGTCTTCATTTTGCCTTCATTTTTAAATGATAGTTTTGCCAGGTAAATATTTGGTTGACTATTTTTTTTTTCTTTCAGCACTTTGCATCATTCCACTACCTTTTGGTCTCCATTGTTTCTGGTTTGAAATCAGATGTTGATCTTATTGAAGATCACTTTAAATAATGAGTTTTTTCTTCTTTCCTGTTTTCAAAATTATCTTTTGGCACTTTTATTTTGATGTAGGTAGATGTGAATCATTTTTTACTATCTTTTTGAAGTTCAAGAGCTTCAAATATAGGAAGCTTTTGACCTTTATTCTTCACATGTTCTCTCTCTCTCTTCCTTCCTTCTCTTTTCTCTCCTCTCTCCCCCCCCTTCTCTTTTCTCTCTCTCTCCTCTCTCTCTGTCTCCTTTTCTCACTCCTTTCTCCCCTTTCTGGCACTTTGATTATGCATATCCAGGTAAAGCCAAATGTGTATTCTCGGAGGTGTAATTTTTTTCATTGGAATCCAGTTCCTTTAATACTTACATGATTGTTCAGGTTTTATATTTCTTCCTGTGCCAGGATAAGTAAGTGTAATTTTCCCATTGGTTTGAATTACGAAATTTATTTTTATGAAGTTGTTCATAATATCTTTCTACTTTAATGTTGTCAAATTGAGCTTTCTGTGATATGAAACTATTCTATATCTGTGCTTTCCAATATGGTAATGGCTACTGAGCACTTGAAATGTAACGGTGTAACTAAGAAATTTAATTTTAACTTTATTGCACTGTAAATAATTTTATTTTAAATAACCTCATGTGACAAATGACTACCATAATAGACCACATTGAATTTGCAATGATTTCTTCTTTTTCCCTCTCTGCTATTAGATATATAAATGTTTGTTTGTTCTCTTGCTCTCTCTCATTGGTCTCTTCTGTTTTTCAGTTTTTTAAAGTTATTTTTGTTTTCAGATTATTCTTTTCATAAAACATAGTGAATTCTATTTCATCATTATCTCAAGGTTTTACAATATTGAACACAATGTCCATAGGTTGATTGGTTTTATATTTTTGCTAGACAACTCTTATTTTTTATTGAGATATAAAGGACATATAACATTATATTAATTTCATTTGTACAACATGATTTGTATAGAATAAATCCTCCCACTTTTTTTTTTAAGATTTATTTGTGCATACAAGAGCAGGGGTACAGGCTAGAGATGTGCAGGTGTTGGGGGTGGGGGTGGTGAGAGGATTCACCAGAGACAGTGGGGAACAGAACAGGAAGATTGACCAAAGTACACTACTGAGGGGAGCAGCGGGTGAGACAGGAGAGGTCTGCTGCACCATGTGGGTTGCTCCCTGGCCGGCCAGGAATCAAACTCTTGCTTGCAGAGGCTGCTGATTGCTTCATAGTGCAGTGCTTAACCCCTTGCGCCACCAGGGAGGTCATTTAAAATTGTATTAATCTACTTTCTTTACATTT